GTGACCGAAGAGGATCAAACAAAAATGAACGAGGTAGAGGCGCCCTGCCTGTTCAACGAAGCTCAACAGGCGCTGAATCGGGTAATTTCGAATGTCCCTTTATTATATACTTAGCTTTAATCATGAATAATCATAATGTTTTTCCTTTGTGTTTGTAGGCCTCGGTGTTTCATCACGAGGCTTTTTTTCGATACCGGGAGGAGTCAAAATATTTTGAGGCCGAGGCCCGGGAGCTTGCCGAAAAGAGGGATGCTTATAAGCTCCTTAATGAAAAATCCCAAGCTGAGATGGAAGCGGCTCGTAGGGAACATACCGAACTGGTTGAGCAGGTAAGGGGAGTTTTTGGAGTTAGTGATGATGAGTCAGACTCAGTAGCTAACAATCCGAACTCGTAGGTTCAGAATAAACTTCACGTGATCGAGAAACTCCGAGGTGAGGTGGATGCGGTCAAAGTTGAGATCGAGGAATGGAAGAAAAATATGGATCGCTTAGCCTTAGAGAAAGAGACTGCCCGGACACAGTTGGCTTCTGCTGAGGTTCAGCTTCAGGCTGCAAAGGAGAAGAACTTGGGCAGGACAAAATGGCCGAGGGAATCCAATCTCAGTTGACCTCGGCTGTTTCTGGTCAAGAAAATCTGGCTAAAGAGCTCGAGGCTTCCAAGTCAGAAGTTATTACGGCCCAAAACGAAGCTGATAAAAAAGTGGCCCAGCTCAAAGTTGATGTCGAGGCTATCCATGAGCAGGCAAAAAACATGGTGAAACATGCGAAGTGGGAATCCCGAAGGGGGACCCTCGAGGGAGTCCATGCTCAGAATTTCGACATATTGACCGAAATCGAGAATGCCAAGACATGCGAAACCAATGCTCGGAGGCTAGCTTTTCCCGAGGAGGATTCTGAAGCGTCTGAAGAGTCGGGTCAGTCCGGTGGTGAAGAAGACCCCGTAGGCGATGACGTAGCCCTCAATGAGGATTAGGCCATTTTTCATCTTTTGTGCTATCTTTTTTTAAGCCATTCGGCCTTTGTAAAAACATGCATTGGGGCTATAAATTTTGATATATATGTATAGGTTTTTTCCTTTCATCGTTTCTCGAATTTTTCCCTTGCCTTTTTATTTATCTTAGCGACGGTCGAAATGCCTTAGCATGAAATAATTATCTCGGAATGGCCTTAGCCTTTTAATTCGGCGATGCCAAATAAGCTTCATGCCCTTGAGTTTATTAACTCGGAATGGCCTTAGCCTTTTAATTCAGCCAATGCCAAATAAGCTTCATGCCCTCGAGTTTATTAACTCAAAACGGCCTTAGCCTTTTAATTTAGGCAATACCAAATAAGCTTCATGCCCTCGAGTTTATTAACTCGGAATGACCTTAGACTTTTAATTCGGGTAATGCCAAATAAGCTTTATGCCCTCGAGTTTATTAACTCGGAATGACCTTAGCCTTTTAATTAGGGCAATGCCAAATAAGCTTTATGCTCTCTAGTTTTATTAACTTGAAACGGCCTTAACCTTTGTATTTAGGCAATGCCTACAGTCCCCGAGTGAAGTGAATGTTCGAACTCGGATTAAGGTGGCCCTTGGGCTCGATATCTTTGGCTTCTTGAAAGATGTAAGAAATATTTCAAAGGACAAGATGTTTATGTGCAAGGAAGAATCTTCTCTTATATTCTTGTGTGCAACATTTGTACATGTATACATGTTTTGTGTCAGGGCTTGAGCGGTCCATGTGGGCACGGTTATTTTAATCGTTTGACCCTTACAATAAATCCTATTGATCGAGTCACGAAGTTTCTTTCCTTGTTAGAGTCAATAACCGAGGGTGTTGCCCCCCCAGTGTTCAGGGCTAACTGAAGAGTGGCCTCGAATATTGCTGTAGCCGTTGCTACCGGTTCATAGTCGGCCTTCGATTCTAAGTTAGGACGATTTACTTGCTGGCTCGTTAAAAACCTTGCCGAAAAATCCATTTGGGACAAAACCGGTTCAAGGAAAAAAGAGTACAACGTGTGCTTTCAAACCTAGGATCTTAAATCATCCTTTGTAGGTTGCCTGCAAGTGTCGGTTTGAAATGTAAAAAAGAAAATAGAAGAAAGAATTGGGGTCGTACCTTAGCAATAATATCGTTTTAAGTGAGATATATTCCAGTTGTTCGGTAATTGCTCGTCGTTCATTATTCTGAGCTTGTAGGATCCTTTTCCGGTGATCTCGATAATTTCGTATGGTCCTTCCCAGTTTGACCCCAATTTCCCTTCGTTCGGATTTCAGGTGTTCAGTGTAACTTTTCTTAGTACTAAGTCCCTAATATTGAAGTACCGAAGGTTGGCCCTTTGATTATAATATCTTCGACATGCGATGTGGTCCCAGATGAAATTGATGACTTCTTTTTATTTGAACTTTTCATATGCGTGTGCTTCCACCCATTTAGAAAAATAATCAGTCATAAATAAAATAAACTGATCCTTACCGGGTGCTCGAGGGAGGAGGCCGACGATGTCCATCCCCTATTTCATAAAGGCCATGGTGACAAAATCAAATGTAGCGTCTCCCCATGTCGATGGATCATCGGAGCGTGCCTTTGGCATTCATCACATTTTCGAACGAACTCCTTTGAATCGTTTTCCATGTCGATCCAGTAGTAACCGACTCTGATTATTTTTGAACTAGTGATTCGGCGCCCGAATAATTTTCACAAGTAACCTCGTGGATTTTCCTCAGAACTTACTCAGTATCCCCCGGCCCTAGACATTTTTCAAGTGGACCATTGAATATTCTTCTGAACAGGGTTCCATCTTCGGCTAGGCTAAATCGGGTAGCTTTTGTATGCAGGGCCCTTGATTCTTTTGGGGAAAATTTTCGGTCCTGAGATACTCCACGTACTTGTTCCTCCAGTCCCAAGTTAGGCTCGTCGAGTTGATCTCGGCGTGGCCTTCTTCCACCACCGATCTCATAAGCTGCACGACTTCCCCTGAATTGAACTCGTTATCTTCGACCGATGATCTCAAGTTAGTGAGAGCATCGGCTTCGCTATTTTGGTCCCGAGGTACATGTTGCAAAGTCTATTCTTTGAATCGATGTAATGCCACCTGTAACTTGTCTAAGTATCCCTGCATTCGTTCTTCTCCGACCTCGAATGTTCCGTTAACTTGGTTTACCACAAGGAGGGAGTCGCACTTGGCTTCGATCACCTCTTCTCCCAAGCTTTTGGCTAATTCAAGACCTGCAATCATGGTCTCATATTCGGCCTCGTTGTTAGTCAATTTCATAGTCTTAGTAGGTTGTCTAATTATATTACCTGTTGATGGCTTTAGTACGATACCAAGTCCGGACACTTTGGCATTTGATTCCCTATCTGTAAAGAGGATCCAGATTCCCGAAGATGTCCCTGAGTTAGCCAATAACTCTCTTTCGACCTCAGGTATTAGGGCCGATTTAAAGTCGGCCACGAAGTCTGCCAATATTTGGGACTTAATGGTGGTTCGACGTCGATATTCAATATCGTACCCACTTACTTCCACTGCCCATTTGGCCAATCGGTCCGAGAGATCGGGTTTATGCATAACGTTCCTTAACGGGTAAGTTGTTACGACACATATGTGGTGACATTAGAAGTATGGTTTTAGCTTCCTCGAGGCACTTAGCAAAGCGAGCGCCAATTTTTCTAGGTGGGGGTATCTAGTTTCGGCCTCACCCAAGGTCCGGCAAACATAATAAATTTGAAATTGCATACCTTGTTCTTTCTGAACTAGGACTCCACTTACCGCTATCTCCGATACTGCCAAATACAAGTATAGTTGTTCGTCTGCCCTCGGTGTGTGAAGCAGTGGCGGACTCGATAAATACCGCTTAAGTTCTTACAAGTCCCTTTGGCATTCCGGGGTCCATGTGAAGTTGTTTTTCTTTTTCAGCAACGAGAAAAATCGATGACTCTTATTGGAGGACCTGGAGATGAATCGCCCTAGGGAGGCAATGTGCCCGGTTAGCCTTTGCACGGCCTTCACATTGTCCACTACTGTGATATCTTTGATAGCTTTGATTTTGTCGGGGTTGATCTAGATTCCTCGGTTGGATACCATAAATCTGAGAAATTTACCTGATCTGACTCCGAACGCGCATTTTTTCGGATTCAGCTTCATGTTGTACTTCTTCAATATACCGAAGGTTTCCTGCAAATGCTTTAAATGGTCCTCTGCTTGTAGGAATTTAACCAACATATCATCAATATAAACTTCCATCGATTTTCCTATTTGTTCTTCGAACATCCGATTTACTAGGCGTTGGTATGTGGCACCGTCATTTTTAATCCAAATGGCATTACATTATAACAGTATATGCCATTTTTTGTGATGAATGAGGTTTTTTCCTAATCACCCGGGTCCATCCATATTTGGTTGTACCCGGAATAGGCATCGAGAAAACTGAGTATCTCATGGTCGACCATGACATAGATCATACGATCGATGTTGGGCAAGGGAAAAGAGTCTTTGGGGCATGCTTTATTCAAATCTTTGTAATCTACACACATTCTTAGTTTATTCCCCTTTTTATGGACTACCACTACGTTTGCTAACCAATCAAGATATTTAACCTCTTGAATGGACCCTATTTTTAGGAGTTTAGATACCTCGTCCTTGATGAAAGCATGTTTGACCTCGGACTAGGGCCTTCTCTTCTGCTTGACCGGATTAAATTTTGGGTCCATGTTTAGTTTGTGAGTAGTTATTTCTGGTGGGATCCCTGTCATATCAAGATGGGACCAAGCAAAACAATCTTTGTTAACTATAAGAAATTGAATAAATTTTTTCTTGAGCTCGGGAGTTAGTCTCGTGCCCAGGTATACCTTTCGATCGGGCAAATGCTCGATTAATACAACTTGTTCCACCTTTTCGACCTTCGATTTGGTTGCGTCGGAGTCATCAAGGATTATAAGAGATCGGGGAACCCCGTAATTATTGTCTTCATAAGTCTTTTGCTTATCTGATTGGACCGTTACGAGAATCAGTAATTGCTATTTGGCCTCTGAGTCAGTGCCAAAATTCGGTTCCTTCAGTATTGAGAGCGTTGATATCGGAACCAGTTCTTCGATGGCAAACATCTCTTTTGCAGCTGATTGTTCCCCGTAGTTTATCTTGATCCCCCTGAGACTGGGAATTTTAACACTTAGTGAAGGGTCAAGGGTATTGCCCTCATGTGGTGGATTCGTGGCCTTCCGAGAAGGGCGTTGTACCTCATGTCCCCTTCGATTACATAAAACTTGGCCTCCCGTACGATTTCGGCTGTATTGACCGGTAATATTATGTCCCCTTTGGTGGTTTCACATGCCATGTTGAACCCGTTTAGGACCCGGACTGCTGACACGATCCTGTCTTGTAAATCGAGCTGTTCTATGACCTTCGATCGAATAATGTTGGCTGAGCTCACACGTTTGACTCTAGTTTTATTTACGAGTATAGATATTACCAGTGCATCATTGTGAGGTTGTATGATCCCTTTCGCGTCTTCGTCGCTGAAGGATAAGGCTCCTTCAGGTATGTAGTCTAGAGTTCGTTTCTCCCTGGTGACAGAGATTCTTGTGCATTTCAACATCGTCCCTTGTGCGATGTCGACTCCACCGATGATCATATTTATGATGTGTTGAGGTTCGGTCTCTTCTTGTCCTGTTTGTTTGTTAGAATCCATGTTTCTAAAGTGGTTCTTGGCTCGGTCGCTTAAGAATTCTCGAAGGTATCCTTTGTTGAATAAACGAGCTACTTCTTCTCTCAGCTGTCGACAATCTTCCGTTCTATGATCGTGAGTGCCATAATATTTGCACATCTGGTTAGGGTCCCTTTGAGCTGGATCGGATTGTAAAGGTCGAGGCCATTTGGTATCACTGATTAACCCGATAGCAGATACGATGGCGGCATCATCGATATTAAAGTTGTACTCTGATAGCCTTGGTTCTTCTTTAGGCCTGATGGTCCTGTCGAAGCTATTTTTGGTCATGAGCCCCTGGTTGCTTCAACCTTGGTCATTTCTCCTATCGTTTCTTAGGGGTTCCGCCCCGATTTACTGTTTCTTCGATCTCCATTATAGGCCGATATTGATTCCTATTTGATCTGGTTCACGATCGATATATCTTCTGGCTCTATCAAGAATCCTGGCGGGATATATAGACTTCCAAGGTGCCCCGAGTTGATCATCTTCAACTCTGATTTTTGACTGATACCGATTGTGTACATCGGTCCAGGTAACGACGGGTATTCTATCAGGCTTTGATTTAATTGTTGCGAAGCCACCGAGCTTCGAATATTGAGTCCCTGATTGAAATCCTGAATAGCCCAATCATCAGCGACCGGCGGCAGATCCATTTGTTCCATTTAAAAATGGGACACGAACTCCCTGAGCATCTCGTTTTCCTATTATTTGACTTTGAAAAGGTCCGATGTCCTGGTTTCGACCTTGATGGCACCAGCATGTGCTTTTTACGAAAGAGTCTGCAAGCATAGAAAATGAGTCAATAGAATTAGGAGGTAAGTTGTGATACCATATCATGGCTCCCTTTTACAGGGTCTCCCCAAATATTTTCAGCAAAACAGACTCGATTTCGTCGTCTTCTAAGTCGTTCCCTTTTATGGTACATGTATAAGAGGTTACATGCTCGTTTGGATGTCGTTCCGTTGTACTTGGGTATTTCGGGGATGCGAAATTTCTTGAGGATCGGTTATGGGGCCGCGCTTGGAGGAAAAGGTATTTGTACGAACTTTTTGGAATCCAGTCCTTTCAATATCGGAGGTGCTCCTGGGATTTGATCCACCCTGGAATTATAGGTTTCAACCTTTTTATCGTTTGCTTCGATCTTCTTTTTTCCTGACTCTATCCGCTTTGTCAGCTCCTCGAATATTTTTATAAATTTGGGGTTAGTCCCCAACTCTTGTTCATTCGACCTTACTGTGAGCACCTAATTTTTTACCATGCTTGAATATTTCCCCACTCATCTCATCAATATCTCATTTCCCACTCCATCTTTCCCGCTCCCATTTTTTCCACTCCACTTTCCCACTCATGTCCCCCACTCCTTGTCCCCCACTCATATCCCCCACTCTTTGTCCCCCACTCATAACCCCTATATCCACACTCCCTTCACGTACATATATGGATACACGAAAAAAGGGCAGCTGTTTTCCTCTTCTTCTTCCTAATCATACACTCATCTTCCTCGCCTCATCTCTTCCAAAAACACCACCAAAATTCTAGCTAAAGCGGGATCTTGAAACTAGCCCCAAAATCATGTAAAACTCCATCAAAACAACCTTAAAACTACCAGAAAATAGCTGCAAAAATCAGCTCCAAACCAGCTCATCCCCACGTAAAAAAAAAACCCCATCAACCATCAAAGCTTTATCGATCTTTCCTCCATATTTATCCCAAAAAGCTCTACTAAACAGCCCCGTCTCCTCCACCAAATCAGCATCTTCAACACCATCCAAACACCTCTGTTTTTATCCCTTAAAAACACACCAAGCTTCCACCAAAAATGACCCAAAACACTACTGAAATACCAGCGAAATTCCAGCAAAAATCAATCTAAAACCATGTTGAAAACCAGCTGAAAATAGTCCCAAAAGCGTCACCCATCAACAGCCAAAAACCAGCAATAAATCTCTGCCAAACTCTCCCCAGAAACTGCCCGAATTAGCCCCAAAAAATAACCCCCAAAAGCCAGAAAAAATTAGCTTAAACCCGCTGCCAAAACCGCTCTAAAACAGTCCAAAATACTCCAAACAGTGCTGCCAAAAACCAACTGAAAAACCTAGCTGAAATAGCCCCCCAAAACACCATTTAAACCAAGCTTCTCACCTCCAAAACACCGTAAAAGAATAGCTAAAATTTCTGAGTCGAGTCGAGGTCCGAGCCGAGTCCGCCGAGTTCGAGAGGTGGGTAATGGTCTTGTTCGCTTTTGGATTTCAGAGCTGTAAAATATTGAAAGTTCAGATTCAAAACTTTGAGGTTCATTCCTTTTCTTAATCTTGATAATGTTGACATTGGTATTCTATATTATGGATCCTGTGCTTGAATGAAGTTTTATTTTCGTTTTTGTGTTAATATCTTAGCTCAATGCCTATATCGCTTTTTATCTCTATGTTGTTCTATTGTGGAATCATGTTGATATTGATATTTATTTGTGAAAATATTTCCATCATTACACTGGATTAACGTAGTACACTTTGGGAAAAGAATTTCGGGCACATTGTTAAAGAATTTCGGCTAAGAGTTTACTGCTTTAGCTTCTATTTGTTGGGACCAGGTTGATGAGTTCTGGGTCTAGTTTCAAACAAAAGATTGGGCTAAATAAGATAAGTTATGCAGAGGCCCAATACAATACAAAGACGCTCATTTTGATTCATATGCTGGTCAATTTTTTCTCAAAGGACAAATGTAGTATTTTTTTCAAAAGTAATAGCGTGCTAATAATCCTTTGTCCTGACTGCGGATTCGCTTTCGTAGCTCTGTTATGACAAAATTAATAAATTTCGTCTCGATCACGCATTCGCTTGCGTAATGTGATTATAACATCTTATTATTCAAAACATTCTTGAATAATCAAGCATGAAAAGCGGATAGGTAAAACATGGAAATCCATTAAAACACAGTTTGTTCACAAATAATAGAAGCCAAATATAGTCAATAAAGCGACCGTGCTAGAACCACGGAATTCAGGGAATGCCTTACACCTTCTCTCCGGTCAACAGAATTTCTTACCCGAATTTTGTTTTCGCAGACCAATAATGATAGAGTCAAACCTTCCTTTGACTAGAGATTCAAATAAAAGGTGACTTGGAACACCAAAAATCAATTCCAAGTGGCGGCTCTGAATAACAAAATAATCCCTATTTCAAAATTGTCACTTTAATTGAAAAAACTCTTTAACCCACAATCCATAACATATATCTTTTGTGGGGTGGTAAAAAAGGGGTGTGACACTTACCACGGCCGGTTCCATTCTGTGGGTGACTTCTTGGGGTGGATCGGGTTCAACCCTGTTTAGTGCCTGAGTTTGAATCTATAACTGAGCTATCGCCACTTGTTGAGCTTGCAGCATTTCAAAGATCATGCGTAGGCTAATCCCGTCTTCTTCAATATTCTGTGTGTTTCGAGCTGCAGATCGGGCTCCACCACGGACACTATTTTCAGGGTCGGAACGTAAGTTCGCGTCGATTGCCACATGTGAATTTGCATCGATCGGATCTGCAGTCTGAATCCCAACCGCATCAGCGGCTGGCCCCGCATTAGCAGGCGCCATGTTGTTATTCTCACCTTGATGACTAGTCTCATTGTCGATATGTAGAGGTGCCAATTGGGAGTTTGTCATTTTTGGCGTGAAATCAAAGACACTTCAAAGAGCAAGTGTAAAACAGTGTGTGTTATGGAGATTTGTATCAAATAACCACTATTATCCTTAGCCCCACGGTGGACGCCAAACTGTTTACCCGGAAAATCGAATAACAATTGAATTTATACGCGGTTTTAAGGATATGTGATCTAATTCGATACAAAGTGAGAAATCAGATTTAATATGCAAGAATAAGTAGAAATATAAATGCAAACAATGCAGATTGAACAACTTAAGCCTCGCAAGGTTAACTTCCTTCTCATTTATATGTGATATTGTTGAAGCCAGAATAATATGAACAAAGCTAAGAAAAATAGTATATTGTTCTTTGAAGTATGTTACCATCTGTCCTTTGAATTACTCCATTCCCTTTATATATACATGGAGATGAAACCTTTAAGATATTATTTTATAGGAAACTATGTAGACCATCGGCTCATTTTTTGACTTAATCCCGTAATTTCCGCCATAATGATTGGTCAATGGCGAGAATTACGGATACTTGTTGTGTGAGTTGACAAAGCTTTTTTTCGAGGTCGTTAGAAGCGGGGTCGGTCGTGCCTTCGATAAACTCGAGGGCAAATCTGATGGTCTTGTCGAGCTTCGAACTTCGATATCGAGCTCAGTTTCATCTGTAACTTCGATCTCTAACAGATGTTCCGAACCTGGTCTATCGTTCCAGATGCTCGATCGATCATCGAGCTCAGTTCTACCCGTATACAGGTTCCACAACATCCTGAAACGAAATAAATACAGAAAAAGGCATCACAAGTTAATTAACCAGTTAATAAACAAGAGGCAAAATCAATTGTTTAGTTTGTCATTGTACATAATATCTCATGACTTCTACTATAGTTTGACTATTTGAGTTGTACCTGGTGTAGAATCTTGTTGAGGATGGCCAAATGAAAAGCTGGCTCAGGGCAAACAGCGTAGGATATTGTAAACTAGAGGAGAAGGATAATGAAGAAAGAGCTGGTAGAGGCTTTAGACATGGTTAATTGCTTGTTTTGCCAGATGCTCCGAGTACTCTTATCTTTAAATACCGAGGGACGACTCTAATACCCTTTTGACATATAAATATACTTGCTTCTTTCATTGACCGGTACATTAACCAACATTCAGAAGAATTTGAGGAGTTGTATCAATAACTAATACACTAAATTCATTTGATTAATTGATACAAGACCAGATTCATTCATCTATTTTATACCAGCACATAGTGAAGAATCTAGAGACAATTATATTGTGACTTTAGAAGAGCTCATACACAATGGTTTGGACATGCGTACAATCTATTTTCCCAAATTCTTCACCCTTGTTCGTTGTTCCCAATCCCATTTCTTACATCTAATTCCCTTTAAGTTCTTAATAAAGTTCAACTTATAATAATTCTCAAAGTGAGTATCTTTCTCCCATTTAAGAATCAGTTTATAAAAGA